CCGCGGCACGTGGGATCTTCCCGGACTGGGGCACGAACCCGTGTCCCCTGCATTGGCAGGCGGACTCTCAACCACTGCGCCACCAGGGAAGCCCCATTGGGTGGTTTTAAGCAGGGGCCTGCCGTGATGTGATTTAAGTTGTTTTGGTTTGGTTTGATTTTTTCCGGCAGCACCGTGTGGGATCCCAGTTCCCTGAGCAGGGATTGAACCCGGGCCCCCTGCTGTGGAAGTGCAGAGTCCTAACCACTGGACCGCCAGGGAATTCCCTGATTTAAGGTGTTTTTAAAGAAAGACTGGCTGCTGGAAATGAAGTGTGTGTGCCGGAGTGGGGTGGGGGTGGGTGGGTGACGGTGCAGAGTGGATACACAGAGAGCACTTAGGAGGATACGGCTGTTGTCTCCAGGAGAGATGACTGTGACCCGGGCTAGGAGGTGGCCACCATTCAGGGAGAAGAGGTCGGATTCCGAAGAGGTTTTGGAGGTAGAGCCGCAGGGCTTCTGATGGATTGGATGTGTGAGTGAGACAGCAAGAAGACTCAAGGACTCCCAGGTTTGGGGCAGCTGGTTGAACGGCGGAACCACTTTTGAGATGAAAGATGACAAGGTTTGGGAAGAGTGGATTGATCATTCTGTTTGGGGCCTGTTAAGGTTGAGACGCCTGTTAGATATCCAAGAAGAGAGGTCACATGGTCGCTGTGGGCTGGATGGAGAGGTCAGGATTGGAGATTAAAATAGTCAGGAATCCAGTGTTAATTGGCATTATTCACAAGAGCCAAGACATGGAAGCAACCTAAATGTCTACTGACAAACGAATGGATAAAGAAGATGTGGTATATATACACAATGGAATAGTACTCAGCCATAAAAAAGGACAAAAATAATTCCATTTGCAGCAACATGGATGGACCTAGAGATTGTCATACTAAGTGAAGTAAATCAGACAAAGACAAATATCACTTATATGTGGAATCTAAAAAATGATACAAATGAACTTACTCACAAAATAGAAACAGACTCACAGACATAGAAAACAAACTTATGGTTACCAAAGGGGAAAGGGGGTGGGGAAGGATAAGTTAGGAGTTGGGAATTAGCAGATACAAACTACTATATATAAAATAGATAAACAACAAAGACCTACTATATGGCACGAAGAACTATATTCAATATCTTGCAGTAAAACAATGGAAGGGACTTCCCTGGTGACGCAGTGGTTAAGAATCCGCCTGCCAATGCAGGGGACATGGGTTCGATCCCTAGTCCGGGAAGATCCCACATGCCATGGAGCAGCTAAGCCCGTGAGCCACAACTACTGAGCCTGCGCTCTAGAGACCGTGAGCCACAACTACTCAACCCACGTGCCACAACTACTGAAGCCCGCGCACCTAGAGCCCGTGCTCCGCAACAAAGAGAAGACACCGCAATGAGAGGCCCGCACACCGCGACAAAGAGTAACCCCCGCTCGCCACAGCTAGGGAAAGCCCACACACAGCAACAAAGACCCAATGCAGCCAAAAGTATAAATAAATAAATAAAATTTATTTTTAAAAAAAACATAATGGAAAAGAACATGGAAAAGAATATATATATACACACACATATAAAACGGAATCACTTTGCTGTACATGTGAAACTGAAACAACATAGTAAATCACCTATACTTCAATAATAAAATTAAATAGGAGTCACCAATGAGAGAATGATAGGGCCCTGGGCCTGAGTGGGACCCCCTAGTGAGAGGGTGCTGGAAAATCGGGAGGCCGGGGACCAGCCCAACCGGTCAAGGCCCAGTTGAAGAGGAGCAACAGCGGGGAGCCTGGGCTGCGGTAAGAGCGGGGGCCGGAGGACAGCCTACCTGAGAAAGGAGAACTTCCCGGTGGGTCTGATCCCCTGCTGGACCCTAAAGCTGATTGTCCAAACCAGGGCACCCCTGAGAGTGAAAAGAAGGCTCTGTGAGTGATAGACCAGGGCAACAGGAATAAATCAGAATCATCCAGGCAAACAGGGAAGTTCTGTGACCCAGTTGCTGGCACCCTTGGCAGGGTGGGTTCGTGTAGAGGAGGAGGCAGAGGCCAGCGGGCAGGAGGTGCAGCTGTGACTGTGACTCTTAGAGTTTGCTGTAAAGGTGGACAAACAGATTGTGGGGCACCCCAGCAATAAGAAGGAATAAAACTACTCATTGACACAACATGGATGAATCTCAGAGTTATTATGCCGAGTGAAAGAAGCCAGGCCCCAAAGAGTTCATAGTGTGCGATGCCTTTCATAGAAAAATTCTAGAAAAGGCAGAGTAATCTATAGTGACAGAAGGCTGATGGGTGGTTGGCTCGGGGTGGGGGAAGAAGATAGGGTGGCAGGGATTACATAGGAGTACGAGGAACCCTTGTGGGTGATGGGTGTGTTCATTACCTTGATCATGGGTGGATATGTGTTAAAACTTATCAAGTACTGTGCTTTATTTTTTTTTTATTGAAGTATAGTTGATTTACAATGTTGTGTTAGTTTCAGGTGTATAGCACAGTGATTCAGTTATATATAGTTATATATATATGTGTGTATATATATATATATATCCTTTGCAGATTCTTTTCACTTGGAGGTTATCACAAAATATTGAATATAGTCCCCTGTGCTATAAGTAGATCCTTGTTGGTTATCTATTTTATACTTAGGAGTGTGTATCTGCTAATCCCAAACTCCTAATTTATCCCTCCCTTTCCCCTTTGGTAACCATAAATTTATTTTCTATGAATGTGGGTCTATTTCTGTTTTGTAAATAAGTTCATTTGTATCTTTTTTTTTTTTTTTTTTTGCGGTACGCGGGCTTCTCACTCTTGTGGCCTCTCCCGCTGTGGAGCACAGGCTCTGCACGCACAGGCTTAGTGGCCATGGCTCACAAGCCCAACCACTCCGCTGCATGTGGGATCTTCCCGGACCAGGGCACGAACCCGTGTCCCCTGCATTGGCAGGCAGACTCTCAACCACTGCACCACCAGGGAAGCCCTGTATCTTTTTTTTAGATTCCACATATAAGCAATATCACATGATATTTGTCTTTCTCTGTCTTACTTGACTTAGTATGATCATCTCTGGGTCCGTCCATGTTGCTGCAAATGGCATTATTTCATGCTTTTTTTTATGGCTGAGTAATATCCATTGTGTGTGTGTGTATATATATATATATACCACATCTTCTTTATCCATTAAGTTGTATGCTTTAAACATGTACAGTTTACTGTATGAGGTATGTATTATATTCCTCAAGAAAGCTGTTTATTAAAAATGTTTTTGTGGGCTTCCCTGGTGGCACAGTGGTTGGGAGTCCACCTGCCGATGCAGGGGACACGGGTTCGTGCCCCGGTCCGGGAAGATCCCACATGCTGCGGAGCGGCTGGGCCCGTGAGCCATGGCCGCTGAGCCTGCGCATCCGGAGCCTGTGCTCCGCAACGGGAGAGGCCACAACAGTGAGAGGCCCGCGTACCGCAAAAAAAAAAACCAAAAAACTGTTTTTGTGTAAAGAGGTATGGCCAAATAAGGCAGTAGCAGGAGGAGGTGTTATTTGATGTTTTTTTCTTTTCTTTTTTTCCCTTTTTCTTTTTTGGCTGCATTGGGTCTTCTTTGCTGTGCGCGGGCTTTCTCTAGTTGCAGCAAGCGGAGGCTACTCTTCATTGTGGTGCGAGGGCTTCTCATTGCAGTGGCTTCTCTTGTTGCGGAGCATGGGCTCTAGGCGCACAGGCTTCAGTAGTTGCGGCATTAGGGCTCAGTAGTTGTGGCGCACGGGCTTAGTTGCTCCGCGGCATGTGGGATCTTCCCGGACCGGGGCTTGAACCCGTGTCCCCTGCATCGGCAGGCGGATTCTTAACCACTGCGCCACCAGGGAAGCCCCCTAATTTTAAGTATGACCCAAGAAGCGTTGAACACCTGCCTCATACGGGGCACATGTGCTGGGAGAGGAGGAGACAGAAGGCTAGCAGGGACCCTTTTGTGAAGGTTACTATATGTCATGCTGAGGGGTTCGGAATTCATCTCATGGGTCCACACAAGTGCAGCGCCCACACCGCATCCTCTGGGCTCCCCTCCACTTGTGGCCACAGCTGCGTTGGGACAGTCCCGGGCGTGCTGACTGGGCACCACTTCCAGCGCTTCCAGGCTCTGAGCCTTTCTGCTTGGGTCCTTTTGCCGAAGCTTCTAGAGGGCCTAGCCTGTAGTCATGGCGGGGAGTCAGTTTCCCCAGGGGCAGCCATCAACAGCAGGGAAGGGAGTCAGTGGATAAACACCCAGCCTCCCGCCTTTGGAGGGACACTTCGGAGATGCATTCTGCTGGTCCCTCACAGTGTCCCAGCTGGATGGAGCCCCAGTTCCCCACAGCAGTGACCAGCCCCAAAACCTTTTTGGGTTTTCACCTGCCCTACCTGACTCTCCCTCTTAGGAGCACCTGCTGATAAGCTACCTGCACTCAAATCCTTGTCTCAGGCTCTGCCCTCAGGGCCCCCAAAATATGGCACCCATGGAACCTAGGGCATCTGCATTTTATGTGCCTGCCAAGCTTTTCTGACGCAGGAGGCCCAGGAACCATACTTTAAAGAACGCTGCTATAGGCAGTGAAAGAAAACATGAAGAACTTCACAAAGGGATGTGACTGGGCCAGATCTGCTCTTGTAGAAAACTAAGGTGGGTGGCAATGTGAAGCTGAGGTCGCAGGAGCAAGAGACAGGAAGCAGGGAGACCAATTAGCAGGCTATTACATGTGTCCCAGCAGGAGGTAATGATGATGAAGATGGTGATGGAGGCCGCCTCTTTGTGAAAGTCCTTTGATTTATAACATGTGTAACCCTTTGCACCGAAATGAAAAGGAGTCTGATTTAACAGCCCCAGTGCTGTAGTCTCAGAAAGCTCACGTTTCCAGCGTCCCACATTTGTCTTTTTCACGTGCTCCTTTCAAAATTTGATACATCAGTCCGATGCCACGCATCTTCATTTTGTGAAATTTTGTGTTTTCAGGATCTTGACATTGGAGCCAAAAACGTGAAGCTTTATGTCAACAAAAAACTCATCTTTGATGGCAACTTAGACAAAGGAGGTGACGAGGCCCCACAGAGCATCCTGGTGGGCCTGCAAAATGAGAGAATGGAAAATAGCGTTGCTGTCCACTCAGAAGAAAGCAAAGGTGCCCACAAGAGGAACAGCACCGATGGGGACAAGCAGCTCGGTGCCAGTTACTCGCAGCCAGCTGGAGCAACAGAGGATGTGAAGGCTTCTTCACAAGGACATTTATTTGGTGGAAGGATGAATTCTCCTGACTGCATGAAAGACAATTTGTCCAAGTTAGAGGAAGAGTGCAGCTTTTTAGCCGCACCATCCTCGCCGGGTGGCATGCCCAGTGTCCCTCCCCACTCCTCCCCCGCGGAATGCCCTCCTCCTCTTGACCAGGAGCTCTCACTGATCCAACAGCTGGAAAACCTTATGGGCAGAAAAGTCTCTGAGCCTCCAGGGAAAACCCCATCCTGGTTACAACCTTCTCCCGCAGGGAAAGGCAGGAAGCAGGGAGGCCTGAAGTCAAAACCCCTCTGGCTGAGTCCAGAGAAGCCGCTGGACTGGAGAGGCAGGCTTCCGTCAGAGGATATCATCCGTGAGGGGCCTGGAGAGACCGAGGCTGGAGATAAAGACCCCAGGCGTGAGCAAGGGCGGACAAGCAGCTGGAATGTCATCGCCAGCGAGAGAGCTCAGAGAGCAACCCCCAGAGTCTGCGGTGATGACTTCGACATCTTTAACCAACCCTCCCACAGGGAGCACCCTGCTAGTGGGAGGAGGGGCCTGAGGAAGGACGCCCTCAGCAACAGTCATAGTGATGGCCAGCCAGACAGCAGAGGTAAGCTTGGGAAGCAGTCTGACTCGGGGCCATCTCACCTGAGCCAGGGCCACTGATTGGCATGAAGCCATTTTGCTCCCTGGACCTCAGTTTCCTCATCTGCAAAGCAAGTGGGTTCTTCTCAACTAAGCGCCACAAATTCCCTGTCTCAGGGGCCACGGGGTGGCAGCGGTGCGTGAAATGGGCAAGGCACACTTTGCATGTTAAACTCAGAGATATTTTTGTCATTACCTCCAAGATACGTTCCTTTGTCCATTTTTCTTGCAAAACATGGCTTTTCCAATCTAGACTGCTATCCCACCTCTGATAGAGACGTTGGTCTCTAAGAACTTCACTTCTTTGTAACCATACCATTAGAAAAATAATACAGGTGTGATGAAAAATAGCAATCAATTCTTGCCTGGGGGTTGGAAGGACTATAGGGAATGGTGGGGACTATGGTATTCAGGAATACAAGACCAGCATATGCCAGATCTCCCTTTTCCTTTTATCAAGAGAAATCAAAATTGTAGAATATTCTTGTTTTTCAACATTGGCAACTGATGGAGATTATTTTTAAACCACTGTGTGGGTCAAAAAATATATATATACATCTGCTAGCAGGATTCACCTGCTTTGTGAACTTTGCAGTAGATTATCTCTAAGAGATCTGAAAGGAGGTGCCAACGGCTGGTTTTCTGAATATTTGCCCTCAGATTTGGCTACTGGGATGGAGTGTAGCATAGCAACAAGGAGTCAAACCATTTAAATTCAAGCTCTGCTACTTATAGGTCTGGGACCTCTAGACTGGGTCCTATAGAGCTGGGCATTTCCACTTTCTGAGCCTCAGCATCTTCATCTGTGAAATGGGAATGAACCCCCACTCCCCACAGTGTTGTGAAAAATGAATGAGTTGATAGCTTCAAAATATTGACCAGAGCCTGGCATGTGGAAAGTGCTCCAGAAGTGGTGGCCATGATTTCAACACTAGCTTCTGCATCCTTTCTTGCCCACAGAGCTCCTGGACCTACCAAAGCAAGGCTCACCTCTAGATCCCCTGAGTTTATCCTCACCCCCTACCACACAGGAGCAGAAGCCCTAGAGTCAAACTGACTGGGCATGTATCCTGGTTCCCCACTGCCAACTCACACTGTGGGCAAGTTCTGAAATCCCCCTGAGCCTCAGTTTCCTCGTTTATAAGGACACCAGTAATATCCAACTCACAAGGGGCTGGGAGGATCAAATGAGATCCTACGCGTGCAGCGTTTGGCACTGTGCCTAGGACATAAGCGCACCCAACAGATGTTAGCTTCTGCTATTTATTCTTATTATTGTTGTTGTTATCATCGTCATCACCGTCATCCCCATTCTGTGACTCTGCCTCTTGGTGTATCTGTATGTGAAGCCAATGTGTATATTTTCAGTGAATCACATTAGCATCTGCACTGTGACTGTCTACTGGACAGACCTTTCCAAAGGCCTGCATTTAGCCAGAGTTTACACATAGAAATGTGAAGCGTTTGTGGCCTCTTTCAGACCCTTGATGTTACTTAGGGCAGAGCAAGTCCCTCAGACTCTTTGAGTGCCTTTCCATGGTGAGTGGCTGGCTCCCTTCTCCCAGGCAGGGCTTCCCCTTCTGGCTCCCCAGCCTTACAGATTCTGCTGCCCACCCCCACCAAGACTTAACCCTGAGACTGGTTATCAGGGAGGAGAGCAGAGTGGGAGAACAGAACCGAGAAGCTCTTTGGGGGCAGGGACTGCGTCTTATTTGTGTTGGGGTCCCCAGAACCCAGGTGCCTGACTCATGGTGGGTCTTCTGCCGTGTGGGAGAAATGATGGAAAGAAGGAACTGCAATGGCTAGATGCATGGCATGTTTGCCGTAATCCAGGCTGTCATTTGGGCACGTTACTCAAACGGGTTCATTTAATCCTCATACTAGTCCCATTTTACAGATAAAGAAAATGTGAGGTAAGAAAGCAGGGTGAGATGGGAGGTTCGAGATGGTGGCATAGGAAGATCCTGAACTCAGCTCCTCGCATGGACACAACAAAACTACAGCTACATGTAGACTAATTCCCTCTGAAAAGGACCTGAAAACTGGATGAAGAGTCTCCACAAGAAAGGGTAAAAGGGCAGCATCAAGGCAGGTAAGAGAGGCAGAGAGATGACCTCATCAAGGAAAAAACCACACCCCAGGTGTGACAGTCCACAGATGGGGAGGGATTACACAGGTACAGTTACTTTCCCTGGGGATTGAGGGATTTGAGCTTCACGTCAGGCACCCCAGTCCTTAGATCCTGCACAAAAGAGATGAGACCCCAAAACGTCTGGCTTTGAAAACCAATGGGGAATACACTCAAAACTATAGAACTGCAGAGAATGGAAAGCTAGCTTTTAAAGGGCACACTCACACTCACTCCACCTGAAAACCAGCACAAAAACACCAGACTGAAAAGTGCGTGGACCGTAGGTGAATGGGACCCACCTACTAATCTTGAAGCATCTGCTGGAGAGGCAGGAACGACTTGGGATGCTCCCTGGGGACTGAGAAACTGGAGGGAGCCATTTTTCCAGTCTCAGGCTACCTTGCTGATTCCAATGCTGGTGGGTGCCATCTTGGAATTCTCCCTCTAGTCTGTTAGCACCAGTCGGCACACGCCACTTAGAGCCCCACCCACCCCTGCACCTCAGCCAGGCCTCACGGCTGACTATGTGATAACCCTGCCCACTAGAACCCATCAGCCATTGTGGCCAGCGTTGCAGTCTTTCCAGGGGCCAGCCCTGCCCACCAATGCATGGCAGCAGCATCCACGACCACAACAAGAGGGTGCACGCAACCCATAAGGGGACACTGCTTGAGGACCTGGCTCTGGTGGCCAGGCATGATTGCATTTCTGAGCCCCACAGGACATGTCCTACATAAGGCCACTCCTTCAAGACCAAGAGAGGTAGCTGATTTACTTAATATATAGAAACAAACACAGAAAATTAGGCAAAATGAGGAAACAGAGGAATATATTCCTATCAAAAGAACAAGACAGAACCACAGTAAAAGAACTAAACAAAACAGAGATAACCAATCTACCTGATAAAAAGCTCAAAATAATGGTCAAATGCTGCTCATAGAACTTGGGAGAAGAATGGACAAACATGGCGAGAACAACAAAGAGATAGAAAATATAAGAAAGTATCACACAAATTATAACTGAACTGAGAAATACACTAGAGGGGTTCAGCAGCAGATTGGATGAGGTAGAAAAACAAATCAGCAAGCTGGAAGACAAAGCAATGGAGCTCACCCAGACAGAGTAGCATAATGAAAAAGGAATTTTAGAAAAATAAAGATATTTTAAGGGATCTTTGGAACATCAAGCAGAATAGCATTCATATTATAGGCTCCCAGAAGGAGAAGAGAGAAAGGGCAAGAAAAATTAGTGGCTGAAAATTTCCCTGGGGAAGGAAATAGACATCCAGGAAGCCCAGAGAGTTCTGAATAAGATGAACCCAAAGAGACACCCACCAAGACACACTATAATTAAAATGGTAAAAGTTAAGGATAAAAAGAGAATCCTAAAAGCAGCAAGAGAAAAGCAACTTGTGACATACAAGGAAATCCCTTTAAGGCTGTCAGCAGATTTTTTTTCAGCATAAACTTTACAGGCCAGAAGGGAATGGCATGACATACTCCAAATGCTGAAAGAAGAAAACTTCCAGTGAGAATTCTCTTCCCAGTGAGTTTATCATTCAGAATTGAAGGAGAGATTAAGAGTTTCCCAGGTAAGCAAAAGCTGTAGGGCCACTAAACTGGCCCTACAAGAAATGTTAAAGTGACTCTTTTAAACTGAAAATAAATGACACTAATTAATAATATGAAAACATACAAATGTAAAAATCTTAATGACAAAGGTAAATATATAATAAAAGTAGTGGATCAATTAGTTATAAAGCACAACTTCCCTGGTGGTGCAGTGGTTAAGAATCTGCCTGCCAATGCAGGGGACATGGGTTCAAGCCCTGATCTGGGAAGATTCCACATGCCGTGGAGCAACTAAGTCTGTGCCCCACGACTAATGAGCCTGCATGCTAGAGCCTGCATGCCACAACTACTGAGCCTGTGCTCTAGAGCCTGTGAGCCACAACTGCTGAGCCCATGTGCCACAACTACTGAAGCCCGCACACTCTAGGGCCCATGCTCTGCAACAAAGAGAAGCCACCACAATGGGAAGCCCATGCACCGCAACAAAGAGTAGCCCCCTCTCGCCACAACTAGAGAAAGCCTGCGCGCAGCAACGAAGACCCAACGCAGCCAAAAATAAATAGATAGATAGATAGGTAAATAAATTTATTTATTTATTTTTAAAAAATCAATTATAAAGCAAGCTTGAAGGTTAAAAGGCAAAAATGTTAAAATTAACTAAAATTACAATAGTTTGTTAAGGGATACATAAAAAGATGTAGTACTTGTCATCAAAGTATAAAATGTGTGGAGGGGGAGTAGAAAGACAAAGCTTTGGACTGTGTTCAAACTTAAGTTGCTACCAACTTAAAACAGACTGCAGCTTACCTAGGATGGCATATGTGATCCTCATGGTAACCACAAGGAAAAAACTCATGGTACATACACAAAAGAAAATGAGAAAGGAATCTAAATATAGCACTAAAGAAAGCCACCAAAACATAAGGGAAATGAGAAAAGAAAGGAACAGAGAAGAACTACAAAAACAGCTAGAAAACAATTCACAAAATGGCAGTAGTTACATACTTACCAATAATTACTTTAAATGGGCTAAATTCACCAATCAAAAGACAGAGAGTGGCTTAATGGATTAAAAGAAAAAAACACTCATCTATATACTGCCTACAAGAAGCTCATTTCAGAAGTAAGGACACACGCTGACTGAAAGTGAAGGGATAGAAAAAGATATTCCATGCAAGTGAAATGAAAAGAAAGCTGGAGTAGCTATTCTTATATCAGACAAAATAGACTTTGAAACAAGACTATAATAAAAGACAAAGAAAG